GGATGTAGGCAAATAAAGAACTGAACTTTGACTGGGTTATTCTATGTTGTTCTTGAGCTAGCCCTGACTTCAGAATGTTTGGACAAATATACAAGGATATCAAAATCCAATGCTAATCCCGACCATGATGGAAGACCAGTGTGATAGGGGATAAAGTAAAACTTCCTCACTTCACAAGCACGTAACACAACATAGGACAATGATAGTGAACCTTTTAGGCACAGAGTGCCCAAACTGGAAGGAGAGTGCGCACGTGCCAGAGCACTGGAAACCCGATGACCAGCTGGCATAACATAAAAGAATAACAGAGTTGGAAGGGAACTTGGAGGTTTTCTAGTCTAACCCCCAGTTCTGGCAGTAAACCCTCCCTATACCACTTCAGACAAGTGGCTATCCAGTCTCTTTTAAGAAAACCTCCAGTTGTTAAGCACCCAGAACTGCTGAAGGCAAATTGTTCTCACTGTTAGGAAGTTTCTCCTTCCAGGTTGCTTCTCTCCTTGATTAGTTTCCATCCATTACTTATTGTCTTGCCTTCTGGCTCTTCGGAAGATAAGTTAATTCCCTCTTATTTGTGGCAGTCCCTCAAATACTGGAATACTGCTATCATGTCAGCCTAGAAATGGAGCATGAAGTGTTGGGGATGGATCCAGGGCCAGTTAGATGGTACAGAAGCCAGTGCATACAGAAGTCAATTGTTTTGACCAAGAGCTAGGAAAAGTTGGTCATGCTACAAAGCAATTATTCTTTTTTGGGCGGGAAAATTGTAAAAAGGAAAAAAAGGGAGGGGAAGGGATAATTGTTTTCTGCATAGTACTCTTTACTTCTGGAAAATGGGATCTGCAACAGTGCAACCTTTCATCCTTGCCTGACAGACTGCAGAAACCCAAAAATTATCATCATAGCAATGGAAAAACAAGCCCAAATATCCAAATTTTCTTTCTTTTTTTTAAAAAAAATTTTTATTATATTTTTATTGTTAAAGAATAACAAAAAGAAAAGAAAAAAAATCAATACAAAAAATCAATAGTAAGGAAAGAAAATTTTTTTCCCCCCAACGTGCTATACAAACGGAAAGGAAGTTTTAGGAACTTGAAGTCTTCAATTCTTCCAGAAATCTCTTTGATAAGGTACTGGTGCCAATTCATCCAATCTCCCAAGTGCAAAGTCCACAAATGGTTGCCAAGTGTTCCAAAAAACATTTTCTTTATATACACCACTTCTAATTTTAATATCACAAGTCAATTTATCATTTAATGCAAATTTCCATGTTTCATTGTACCATTCTTCTAATTTTAAGTCAACATTTAATTTCCAATATCTAGCAATTATAATTCTCCCCATTATAACCAAAATCCTCACCAATTCTCTTTCTCCAGTTGTTAATGTTGTTTCATTCAATATTAATAATAATATGGTTTCCAATTTCAATTTGACCCTCTTCTTAATTATTTCAAATATTTCATTTTCTATCCTAGACCAAAAAAGTTCAACCCCATTACATTTACACCACATATGAGCATATGTCCCGAGTTCCACTTTACATCTCCAACACATTTTATCCACTTTATTATCCATTTGAAAAAGTCTTATTGGGGTCAAATACCACTTCCAAATGACTTTATAGTTATGTTCTTTAATCCTTATTGATAATGTCCTCATTATTCTACTAACCCAATTCATATTCCAATTTTGATCAGAAATTTCAATACCCAGTTCTTTTACCCAATTCTCTTTCATTACCCTTTGTGAATTATTATCAAAGTTAATAATTTTATAAATTTTACTAACTAATCCCTTTGGCCCAATTTCATCTTTTATTATTCGAGATGTCAAATTTTCAAATTCCATTTCCTTTCTACTCTCATCGTTCCTTTCTTTGCATTTCTTATTCCATTTATTCATTTGAATTCTTTCAAACCAATTAATGTTTAATTTTCCATAAATTTCCTCTTTCCTCATTTCATTTTCTATAAATTTCAACCATTCACTAATTGTTTCCACTTTCTCTTCTATTATAATCCTCTCTCTGTTACTATTTAATTTCATTGGGCAATTCTCTTTCAGTTTACCTAAATACAATGCGTCTGGTATTAATTTTTTTGCTACTCTGTCCCAATTTTTAGTCAAACTATTTAACCAATAATTACAAATTTTAACCTTACCTTTAAAAGTTTCCAAAAACCATTTGTAACCAAACTTCTTTATTTCCTTCATTTCCAAATTACCCCAAAGTTTAACATCTCCTTTTAAAATTTTTACTACTGTTTTTATATTAAATGCTCTATAATAGTTTAATAATTTTGGAATTCCTAAACCACCTTGTTTTTGATTCTGATACCACATTTTCTTAATCAATCTTGGTTTTTTATCCCCATTACAAAATTTATCTAATTTTTTTTGATATACTTCAATGTCCTTCTCGGTTAAAAAAATCGGAAGCATCTCAAATAAAAAGTTAAATTTAGGAAGTAACATCATTTTACATAAAGCTACTCTACCAAACCAAGATAACTTAAGTTTTTTATATTTCCCAATTTTCTCTTCAATTTCTTTTGTTACTATGTCATAATTTAGTTTCTTTAAATTTTTAATTTTAAATGAAAGTATAATATCTAAATATCTTAAATTATCCTTTATCCTAAAGTTTCTTTAAACTCTTTATAAAATTCTGCTGGTAACCCATCCTCACCTGGAGATTTTCCAAGTTTTAGCTTCTGAATCAAATCTTTAATTTCTTCAGAGGTAATATCCTTTTCCATTTTTTCTTTATATTTATTATCAATTTTCTTCTGACCATATTTTTCTAAGAATTTTTTTAATTTACAATTATCAATTTCTTTTTTAAGATATAATTCTTGAAAAAACTTTTTAACAATTTCACATTTCTCTAATTTTTTATAACATCTCTTACCTTTTTCATCTATTAGGGCACCTATTTCTCTTTTTTCTTTTTTATCTTTCGCCATTCTTGCTAATAATTTTGAATTTTTATTACCATATTCAAAAAATTCTCTTTTTAAATAGCTTAATTTTTTTTAACTATTTCTGTATCTTCCGCTATTTGTTTATTTTTCAATTTTTTAAGTTCCTCCCATAATTTCCTATCCTTAGTCTCTAGAAATCTATTTTCCAGTTCTTTTATCAATTTCTTCTTTTCCTCTATTTTTACTTTATAATTCTTATACTTCCTACTTGATAATTTAATACTTTCTCCTCTAAAAATTGCTTTCATTGTGTCCCAAACTGTTCCATAATTAACTTCCCCATTATCATTCCAATCCCAATTTTCTTCCCATTTCTTAAGAATACAATTCTTATCTTCCTCGTTTTTATACGATTTTTCATCATATCTCCAACAATTTTCTTTTTTCTCCAAAAACATATCTAATTCTAGTAACAATTCTGCGCGGTCAGAGTCTTTAAATATTCCAACATCCATATTATCCACGTTATCCATCAAATTCTTGGATACAAAAATATAGTCAATTCTTGAATATGAATTAAATACCTTTGAGTGAAAAGTATACATTCTTTTGTTACCTTTAATCTCCCTCCAAACATCTACTACACCATTTTGCAACATCCAATTATCAAGTATCCCCATTTTACTTATTCCACCATATCGGGTAGGATTGGTACTATCATCTGGTTTCTAATTAAACTATCCAAATGGAAAAACAAGCCCAACTATCCAAATTTTCTTTTGCCCAGCTATTAAAGTTGTTTAGCTGGTAAAAGAGAAGGGATGGAGGAGAGAAAGTGTCCTTTATTTCATGTGTGTTTTCTCTTTCTTCTGGGTCTTCAAGGCAGGGGACCTCGAGTTTCTTTTCCCCCTTTCAGTGGTGGGATTCAGCCAGTTCGCACCACATCGGGAAAACCAGTTGTTAACTTTCTGAGCAGTTTGGCAAACTTGTTGGAAGAAATCATTAGGGCAGAGAACCAATTGTTAAATTACTTGAATCCCACCACTGTCCCCTTTTGTATCCTCACAACAACTCCATACAGTAAGTTAGAATAGAATAGAATTTTTTTTTATTGGCCAAGTGTGATTGGACACACAAGGAATTTGTCTTGGTGCATATGCTCTCCGTGTACATAAAAGATACGTTCATCAAGAATCATAAGGTACAACACTTAATGATAGTCATAGGGTACAAATAAGCAATCAGGAAACAATATCAATATAAATTGTAAGGACACAAGCAACAAAGTTACAGTCATACAGTCATAAGTGGGAAGAGATGGGGGATGGGAACGATGAGAAGATTAATAGTAGTGAATAGTAGTGAATAATTTGACAGTGTTGAAGGAATTATTTGTTTAGCAGAGTGATGGCGTTGGGGAAAAAATGTCCTTGTGTCTAGTTGATCTGATGTGCAGTGCTCTATAGAGTCGTTTTGAGGGATGTGCAGGATGTGAGGGGATATTTTCAATATTTTCACAGCCCTCTTTTTGACTCGTGCAGTATACAGGTCCTCAATGGAAGGCAGGTTCGTAGCAAGTTAGGGTACAAGAAAACGAACTGTCCAAAGACACTGAGATGGATGGAGGTTACAACCTGCATCTCCCATGTCCTGAGATAACATCCTGTATGGATCCCCTCAGATTGACCCAAAGGTGTTTAATCAGGAGGCAACTGGACTTTCTTGGTTTTTTTTTTCTTTTGAAGACGTTTCGCGAAACGTCTTCAAAAGAAAAAACCAGAAAGTCCAGTTGCCTCCTGAATAAGCACCTTTGGGACAACCACCTCTTGGATGACTGAGAATCTCCACAGACCCCGTCAGGTTGAAGTTAAATAAAACCTGCAGGGTCATGGGAGTTGTAGTTCTACGCTTCTGAAAGCGGAAAGCTAATACCCCACCCACCGGAACCCAGACCACGTGAGGAAGCTCCGCAGAACGTCGCCCGCGCGGGCGTGACGCCACCACGCACGTCGACGACCTCTCTTTCGCCCGCCTTCGCGCTCACCGCTTCCTGGGGGCAACCGGAAGGAAGGAGTCTGGCAGCCGAAACTGGGAGAGGAAGGGAAGAGTCATCGGGCGCCATTTTGGGAAGCGCTAGGGCTCCTCTGCGCCGTAGTCGAGCTGACGAAACCTGAGGGGTTCTTCGGATTGTGGCGCCAGGAAGTGGCCTTCTTTTGCCACGGGGGGACGAGGCGGTCCGGGGCTTGTGCGGGTGGCTCGCCGCTCCTTCCGTTAGGCTGAGTGTCGGAGGAGGAAGGAAGAAGTCGGTAGTGGGTGGGCGAGGGCAGCGAGACTGCCCGGAGTAAGTGACGCGCGGGGGAAGGCCGAGGCCGAGCCCGTGAAGGGGTGCCTGTGGTAGGCAGGCAGGCAGCGAGCGAGCGAGTAATTTTTGGTGGGAGTCTTTCGGGGCGCTGAGAGGGGATAGCAGGGAAGGGTGGGCGGCGGGGTCTGCTGCCAAGGAGTAGAGTTGTGGGTGAAGCCTTCGGGCCTTGAGGGTGGGGGGGAAATCTTAGCCTTTAATGCTTCAGAAAGCGGGGAATATGTTACACTACAGAAGGGTGATGTAATTACAAACGGGGGCGTAAAGAGTATAAAACGCGAGAAAAAAAAATACGGGGTGATAGGACTACATAGCACCTCGCTTTGTTGGAAGGAGCTTGAAGAGGGGGGGGGTCCCTTGACTACTAGTTACGAAATCTGAAGTTCCCGAGGCTCTTGAGCGCTTGGCTTGCCCTATGATGAAAAGGGGCATCAGGAAGTGTGCTGTAGAGGTGTATCCACGATTTTGAGATGTGCCTGTTCCCTGGTTAATTTCCTTTGTTTGGCCTCTACTTGTGGAAGAAGAACGAAGAAAAGACACCTTGCCCAGGCTGTGGATTTGCACCCATTCGATACCTACAGCCTGCCTCTTCCACGAATTAGATTATGGCTGCCAATATAGGAGACCAGCATTCTTCAGAATGGTGATTGCAAACTTTTATTGTAATTTCAGCTTGTGACGAAGGGGAGAATTAAGATTTGGGTAGGGTTGAGCCGATTTGAAATATGTGTCTACTAGCCCTTATTACTTTGGCATTGTTTATGTGAAGTGATGTACTAACTATTTTTTAAGTGGGTGTTTGTTTTTAAAAGCACATTAATTTTTCCATGTTGTAATTAGAGATAGGTAACATGCAATATTCTAGATGTTGGTGGACCAACTCCCATCTACTGTAATGGCTGCTGGTACAGCAACATCTTTTGAAATGCAAATTATTCACTTCTGAATTGAAAGATTCTAGGTATTGGATTTTTCTTCTGTATCTCTAAAGTGAGGATTCTGACCTATAACTGATAATATCACAGTCAAACTTAAAACTGAGGAAGAGGGAAGAAAAGCAACTGCGTCTGTTTTGTACTTATGGGAGGGCAAGGCTACTGAATTGTGATATGTTGACTTTTTTGATAGGAACTCCTATGAAATTCCCAAGGGTGGGAGATTTGAGGTAAAAGGAATAATCTTTAGAATGCCTCAAATGTAAATTTTGTTACACTAATCAGGAATGATTAGTATTTGGGTTTCTTTGGGTTTCAATTTAATTCTTTTTTTTAAAAGTTTTGTTTTCAGACTTGTTTATAAGGTTTTTTGAATAAAAATAGTGTAATTTCTTTCAAATTTTTCAGATCTACTAATTTCTGTAATCAATTTGGATTTGCTTTTTTATTCTTATCTAACTTTATATTTTAATTACTGCTAACCTGTAGGGCTGGTCCAACTTTTCCAAAAGTTAACTGCCTTTTGCAGGTTAAAAGATGAATTTCTATTCAATAATATAAACACATTCCCTGAAGATAACTTCTTTGGTTTCTGCTGTCAAAGACTTTAAAACAGGTTGTCAAACTCGGAATGACACGTCGGCACATGACGTATCACAACTTTTCCCCCCTTGCTAAACTAGGGGTGGACATGGCCAGCACGTGATGCAACCAGACCATGAGTTTGACACCCCTGCTTTAAAACTAATATACTTCCTTGGATTTGGGTTAGTCAATGTGGATTTTTAAATAAAAGTAATTAAAGTTAGATAAAATATTTTAGGACTTTATAAATTAGATATTGGAAATAACAGACCTTCATATAGAGTAAAAAAAAATCTCATCAGTAAAGATTTGTAATTTGTAATTACAACAGCTTTCTGAGTGAATGTAATCTTAGCTAAAGATGTTCATATCTTAAAAGAATGCGATATTGAAAGTATATTTGTATTAATTTAAAACAGTATTTGTAACAAAATTCAAAGCAAACCCACTTTCTTAGACTTTATTCAAGTTGAAATTGACATTCTGCTTATGACATCATAATGCTGATGATATCACAAGCTTATAGGTCTTGCGTAGTTGACCATCAAGATATCATGGTAGAAGGATAGGTTAAGTAACACTTTCCAATTAAATATAACTATTTTAGCCATTAGATGTGGGTGAGTATTGGTTTTGGCTCATTCATTACTTGAAAATTCCTGGGCAAATAATGTTGAATTTTGTTGTTATTTTGCTTTGGTAAAATTTGCATGAATATTGATAATTTTATTTTTTTACTATTTTGTGATATATAGGCAGCTTTAATTTGTTCTTATTTTTATTGTGAGCTGCCTGAGAATTTGATTGTAAGGCAACTAGGCATAAATGCTTTCTTGAAGTTACTCCTACCACCAGAACATAATAAGAAAGCATGCTCTCAAAGTTATAAAAAAAAAAGGAAGGAAAAAATTGGAAAACCTTTTTCAGATTCTTAATATTAAATGTGAAACTATTTTTTGTGGCATTGCTCATATACATGAATAAAAATTCTAATTCTTGAAAAACAAAATCCAGTATCTTGTGGCACCTTACAGACTTACCATAATATACGTTATAAAGTGGGAGAATTGTGAAACTAAGAAAAAAGTATTCCTAGGTATTAGTTGAGCAAAACTGCTTATGTTTGCCAGTTGGAGTGACTAAACACATTTTTCTAATTGGAGAAGCCAAATTTCTCAGTGCATAATACTAAACAGCACATAAGGCACTTCATTCTTGCTGGCAGGAAAAGCATGTTGCTCATTTAAAATGAGGTAAAAATCCCAGAATTCTGGATCGGTGGAATATGCAACTGGTTGTGTTCTAGCAATAATCTAAAATTACTGTCTCATTACAAATTTTAATTATCTTGACATACCTGGGAAATGTGTACCATAAAAATCAAGTAAACAGGAATATACTGTAATGTCATTTTTTCAAAGTTTTTGAATCACAAGCGGGCAGTGTCTGGCCCTCCAATAGCAGTCACCGTGGTGAATGATACTGGGAGTTTCAGTCTAACATCCTAGGGCCAAATGTACGAAAAGAGTGATGACAGCTTGAGCAAAAGTTTATATAGGTAGTCCTCAACTTACAACTACAGTTGAGTCCAAAATTTCTATTGCTAAGCAAGATAGTTGTTAAGTGACCATTGCCCCATTTTACAACTTTTCTTGTAACAGTTGTTAAATGAGTCACTGCAGTTGTTGAGTTAGTAATATGGATGTTAAGTGAATCTGGCTTCCCCATGGATTCTGTTTGTCAGAAGATCACAGAAGCTGATCACATGACCCCAGGACACTGCAGCCATAATAAATACATGCTGGTTGCTAAGGGTTCGAATTTTGATCATGTGACCACAAGGATACTGAAATGGTCGTAAGTGTAGAAAAACAGTCATAAATCACTTTTTTTAGTGCCGTTGTAACTTTGAACACTCACTAAATGAATGGATGTAAGCCGAGGAGTACCTGTAACATATAGGCTTACTTATGACAACTTTATTTGTAACTAGAATTGGTGATTGAACTGTCAGAAATCTGTTGATTGTTTTGTTGTCATCCATGGCCATGGAACCAAGCTACTATATGCCTAGAATACTGTTTTTTAATGAGAAGCAGCAGTGAAGGAAGTATTGCCTATCTTGGGGTTACCAGATATTCCAACTTCTACGAAACAAGTACTTGGTAATATTCTTTCATATAATTGGTTGTTATTCTGTCTCTTGAATTGAGAAACTTGCTGAAAGCTAGTTTCACAATTAATTAATTTGAAATATACTATATGGAGAACAAAGTAAAGAGGTTATAAATGTTAAATATTTTGGATGTAAATAGATGGGCAGATAACACAGATGTATGAGCTTGTTAACTTTATTTCAAGGCGGAATTAGGAACTGACATAAAAAATGAACTAAAACATAGATTCTGGTTTGACAGGTAAAATTGAAATTGGCATTATATATTGGCTAAGGTCCAAGAGCAGAAGCATAACATCTCTGGTATTTACTCTTGTAATCATGTGAAGCTAATGAAACAGAACCTCTTCCTGCGTCACTGTCTTTTCTCCGCCTGGTTTGAAACTATTATTTAGCAAGCTCTAAAGTCATAATAGCTGGTGTTTATGTAAATAGATTTTCTGTTATGACTTGAGCTGAAAAACAATGCTCAATTAGACTGAACTGGAGTTCAAATTAAACTTACTTGGTGTTCTTATTGAAACTATTGGGCAGTAAGTTCTGAAAAACTGAAAACAAATACATCTAAAAGTTGAAGGTGCTATGTGATTTCAATGATAATGGGAATAAAAGTCCTGGCAAATTTCTTTTTTTCATCTATTTTCTCTTCTATTTTATAGGGCTTCACAGTACAACCTGGGTACTGCAAGCACCAGAGAAAACGGGATGGAAGGCCCAATGCATGAGAACCCTGAATGGGAGAAGGCTCGGCAAGCACTGGCTAATATTAGCAAGGCCAATGCTGCAGCTGCTACTGGCAACAGTAAAGGGGCCACAAACGGTCAAGCTAACACACAGGTAAGAGGGAGCTAATGATTCTTTAGATGCCCCTGTATTACTGTTTGCGTCTTAAACTTATAATTTGAAAACATACAATTTTTGAATCAGCCTTAGTCATTTAAGACTGAGACTAAAATTTACTTCATTTTGTTTATTGCTAACTTGGGATTTCAGAATCAATAAGAAATCAAACTCTCTTCAAAACCTATATTCTGAGGAGAGTCTTAAATGGGGGAGCTGGAAATGAATGAAGTTAATGCCAGTATTCTATTGATGTATCTCTTGGAGATGATGGAACACACTGTTTTTTTTTTAATGGGGACTATGTAAAAAAGAGGAGAACTTCTGTATTCTGAAATGGCTTTAGAGTCTGTATTTTGGGGATTTTTAAGCACAGGACTGCCACAGGATCTGCCATCCTGAAATCAATCAGAGGAAAAGATTTGGACTTGTTAGACAAGTACTCTCATTTTCACTTAGTAGTACTGGGTGGAAGCATTTTGATCAGTTCATGACACACTTCCGCTACTTTTCACAGTACTCAGCACAGCAAGGAGAATCCCTGCAGCAGCAACAGCAGTACTACCAGTGGTATCAACAATACAGCTATCTCTACCCTTATAATTACTATTATCCTATGGTAAGTAATAGCATTTGGCTTTAGCTAACCTCATAAGGTCCCTTTAGATTGTCTTAAACTAGGATGTTGGAGAGGGACTCGATTCTTGTAAAAGCAGAATACAGGTAGTCCTCAATTTACAACAGTTTGTTTGTTTGTTTTGTTTATTTTATTAGATTGATATACTGCCCTACTCCCGAAGGACTCAGGTCGGTGAATAGGCACAAAATAAAATACATAGATACAAAAGTTAAGAACATAATTAAAACCAGATTAAATAATTTAGCCCAAGACAATTAAAAATCCCAATAATTTAAAACAGATTAAAATTTAAAAGAATTTTAAAACGGGAGAAAATTAGGCCAGGCCGGCTTCCTGGAATAGGAGAGTCTTAAGAGCACGGTGGAAAGTGCGCAGATCCGGGATCCTCCGTATCTCTGGGGGGAGCTCGTTCCAGATAGTGGGTGCCCCCGCAGAGAAGGCCCTCCCCCTGGGGGCCGTCAGTCGACATTGTTTAGCTGACGGCACCCGGAGGAGCCCCTCTCTATGAGAATGTACCGGCCGGTGGGAGGCTGCTTGTGGTAGTAGGCGGTCCTGTAAATAACCAGTTCGTTTAATGACTGAAGTTAAAACGGCACTGAAAAAAGTGACCATTTTTCACACTAATGACCATTGCAGCATCCCCAAGGTCATGTGATTTATATTCAAATGCTTGAGAAGTGGTTCATCTTTTTCACTGTTGCAGTGTCCCGGGGACATGTGATCACCTTTTGTGACCTTCTGACAAAGCAAAGTCAATGGGAAAGCTAGATTCACTTAACAATGGTTTACTAATTTAACACCTCCAGCAATTCACTTAACAAATGTGGCAAGAAAAGGTCCTAAAATGGGGCAAAACTCACTTAGCCAATTTCTCACCTAGCAACATAAATTTTGGGCTCAGATGTCATAAGTTGAGGACTATCTGTGTACTACTGTACTCCAACCCTATACCAGAATAGCAACAAACCTGTTAGTAAATGTTTATTCAGAAATTGACCCTGAGTATATTCACAGTGCCAGGGGGGGTCGTCCTGCTGGATGGCAAGGACATCGGGTTATGGAATGAACCTTTTCCTTCCTCCCCCACCCTTTGGAATGCAGGCACACAATGGGGAATACATATTGAGAGGACTGTGCTCGTTCCTGCTGTTTCCTAGAGAGACACTTAGGGGGGCAAAATTCTAGGGTGTGTAATTGATTCCGGTCTTGCCAATTTCAGGCAGCCTTGCGTGGAGTAGTGGGGGCAGAGGGTTTTAAGAATTAATTAAGTCACAGAACAGAACTTAATAACTTGTGAAAAAAGCTGCTCACAAAAGATGGGGAAATGGCTTAACCACAGGACTGTACTGCAGAAGTTTCATAAAGGTTGTACAAAGAGAGACTGGGATTTCAGAAATCCACTAAATGGAATCTAGGCAAGAGAAGACTGTGAGTGGAACCCCAATTAGCTTCTGCTTTTATACAGAAATTATATACTGCCTATTGTGTAAAGTATCTCTTCACTGAACTGAATCCATGATTTGCCTTCCCAGCAAAATGTCTACTCTGGATATGGTTCTTCTGGGCAATATGGTGTCTCAGGCTCTTATTCCCCAACACCCCAACAGCCATCAGTTCCTGGGCAGCATCAAGGGAGTATGAGCCAGGTAATATATTTCACTTTATTTAAATACTGCTTTTCTTCTATTTTAAGAAATAGAAGAAATTCCCTATTTACAGGGGGGGATATACTGTAAATATACAGATCCAATCACAAGACATTCAAAATTCATCTCACAAATTCTCAGTACTATATTAAGAAGAGATGATTTGATTTTTCTGGTATTTTCCTAAAGGTTTCTGGCTGTTACACCATCTCAGTGTGTGCAGTTAATGAGCAAATTTTCTGGTTTTAATACCATCTTGGTGCATGCAGTTGATGAGCACAGACAATTGTATAGTGTACAATATGGGGATATAATTTGCCTTTTCACCTTCTCAAATCTGTTGCTTCAGCAGATCTGATGATAGTGCAGTAGTTAAGGAATTCTAATGGAAGATAACGATGACATATAAAAATAAGCTTGTGAATCCAGAAGCTAAACAAAGCAATACAATAGGAATAGCATTTAGACTTATATATCACCCCAATAGTGCTTTATAGCACTCTCTGGGCAATTTAAAATGTCACTATGTTGCCCCCAACAATCATTTACTGACCTCAGAAGGATGGAAAGCTGAGTCAACCTTGAGCCCATTGGGATCAAACTCCAGGCTATGAGCAGAGTTAGCCTGCAATACTGCATTCTAATCCTGTGTCTTCAGTGAGGTTTCTAATTATTTCTTGCACTGATGGCAGAGAGCAGACACTTTGGAATAATGAAAAATGAGAACTAGTTTGGTAGAGGTTAAGGTGCTGGCTTGGAAACCAGGAGATGGAATTCTAGTACAACCTCAGGCACAAAAGCTGATTAAGTGACTTTGGGCCTCTCTTTCTCTCAGCACAATCTACCTCATAGAGTGGTGGTTGTGAATAAAATAGATGGTTTATAAACAACCTTGTTTATAAAAATAATAAAAGCAGGACTTCAAAAAAAAATCTTGGGTTTTGGAGAAAGAAGTAAATTCTCTGAGTAAATAAGTAGAAGAGTTTGTGGTCCTTGGGGCATTCTACTGTATTTTTCTTGGCCCCAGCCATTTTATTTGATAGTCACAGAAAATGGGGGCTTCAGTACAACAGTACAGGAAAAAGTGGAAGTTGTCCCTCTTTATATCAGCTTACATGAGAAAGAGAGAGGGGTTGAACTTACCTCCAACTCCATTGTAAACTTCCTGCTTTTAACTGTTTTTAAAAATGGGGCTGGCAGAGGTAATAATGGCACAAAACTCCTTTCTCTAGCCTCCAGTCCCAGGCATGGAAGATGGAGGGATGTCGTACTCAAGCCAGCCTCAGCAAATGCAAATCTCTAACACGCCGCAGTCCCCTATGCAGCATCCCAACCACCCGTCACAGCATAACAACCTACCCATGGGGCCTGGGGGACAGCAGCAGCAGCAGCAGCAGCAACAGCAGGGTGGTCCTCCTGGAGGGTTGCACTCTCAGTCAAACCAGTCAAATGCTTCCTATAACCAGCAGCAGCACTCTTACCAGGAAGCAGCCAAGCCCAAGAAAGGACAGCAGCTGTGGAACCGCATGAAACGTGAGCTTCTGGGAGTAGAGGTGGAGGGGCTTGAATAGGCCTTCAGAAAAAGAAGGCAAAGCATTTTCAGGGTCTTTGTTACTGGGAAGGGGAGTTGGCAGTAGCTGGAGGAAGCATTATTTCTGGCTTCTGATGTATGCCATTCTTTTTGGCATAATTTGAAAGCTTTTGCTTTAATGACATAATTTCTGCTTTGAGGTTTATTAGCATACAGGGAGATGGAAGGAGAAAAGAAAATGCCTCTGAAATGCTTAACTTCCTGTGTCATACTCAAAAGAGTTTTCATTCATTTGTTGGATTGAGCCTCTAGAAAGTTGCCAAGCCATTTGTAACAAATTTAGCTCAGCTGGCAAATTGAAAATGTTCTCTAATGCATAATAAATAATATCCAACTTTTAAAGAGTTACTAACTCTTCAAGAAGGGATATTAAACCACTTTTGATTCACATCACATTTCTGTTATGAATTAAAAAGAGTAATTGTTGGCACTGTGCATACACAGTCCCCCCTCATTTCTGTTGGAGAGTGGTACAAAAGCTTCTACTTTACTGGACTTGAAAATCTTATTTGGGCTTTGGGAAACAGCATCATGATTGGGCTTCCCTGCTGCTGACATTTTAGTCCCCCCAGAGGATATAGTGGATATCCTGCAAGGCACAAATAGCCTTGAGCATCTTAGTGTATCTCCAAGAATATGTTGTCAAATCCAAGCAGCATAATGGCCAGATTCTAGAATCATGATTTTGTTGTTATACTTACTAATGTTGTTAATTATAATTAAGTTATTATTTATTATTATTAAGTTAATAATACCATTAATTAACATCTTATTAATGCTCAGCATTAAGAATGGAAATGGACAAAAGCTGATGAATAAATTGATGAAGGAGGATATAATGGAATAGGAGTTTGGTATGAATTTATGCATTCTGGTGGACAAGTGGAAAATCTTTCATTCATGTTAGAAGCTCTGTGGATTTAGTCCATTATGTTGGTGTCAAACTAAGTCCTTGCCTTTGTCGCAAGTGTTATTGTATGGCTTAAAATGGAAATGATACCTTATATCATCCTCTAATGTTTATGAAAATGCACATAATGCTCTTGGTACTGTAATAAGGGCATTTATAAATGCGTAAGGCTGCTTCCTCACATATGCTGTCTCAAATTTTGGGAGTATCAAAATCCGTTAAAATAACCCGTGGTGCCTCTGCTTCTCTTGAAGGGGAAGATTATGTGTAGATTTAGAGAGAGAGAGAGGTTACTAAATCTGGAAATAATTTTTTTTAAAAAAATTTGCATGTACATACACACCTATGAATCCTCTTTTTATTTTTATAAACAGAAGCGCCTGGGTCTGGTGGTCTAAAATTCAACCTTCCAAAGCGTCCCTTTGTAGTAACAAATCAAAACTTCAGCTCTTTGGAGCAGCAGCAGCAGCAGCAGCAACAGCAGCAGCAGCAGCAGCAGCAGCAGCAGCATCCAAACTTTGCCTCCCAGCAGAATTCAGAGAAACGTCACAATCACAGGTTTGTAACTTTTCTCTCTTCTCCTTTGTTAATTTATATGCAGCCCAAATGACCCAGGCAACTAGGCAATTTACATCATAGAGTTTAAGCAATGATAAAATCAGGATAGAGGACCAAAACAGATAGTATTATTTGGTGAGTGAACAAAACGTGGGAATGTCCTAAAAACTTTCCTCCATTCTTGTCTCTGTCTTTGAATTATTTATTTATTTATTTATTTATTTTATTAGATTTCTATACCGCCCTACTCCCGAAGGACTCAGGGCGGTGCACAGCCAGACAATAAAAACACATCCATACAAAATTTAAAAGTAGAATAAAATCAAATTAAATAGTTTTGGCTCCGACAAATTTAAAACCCCGAACTGATTAAAACCAATTTTAAAATTGAATATATAAGATACTAAAAGATATTTAAAAATTGAAAATCTTTTATGAAAGAGAGAGAAAATTAGGCCAGGCCCGCCTGGTGAAATAATAAGGTCTTTAAGGCGCAGCGGAAGGTGCGCAGATCCGGGATCCTCCGTATCTCTGGGGGGAGCTCGTTCCAGATAGTAGGTGCCCCCACAGAGAAGGCTCTCCCCCTGGGGGCCACCAGTCGACATTGGCTGAATAGAGAGTTTATCATGCTTAGTAAAGTGAAAGAATTCAGATGAAGCACTGGGCAAATCCCAGTCTGGGGGGGTGGGGTGGGGACTTTGCAATAAGCCTAATAAGAAGCAATCTCTTGCTGCTTCTCATTCTTAGAGCTTTTAAAGTCTGAATAATATAAATATAATGTAAATAAAATATATTGGATTCTGTTCATTTGAAAATTTATCAAATTGTGCTAGGGATTGCCAATCTAAGAACCATCCCTGGCCTCCTGCTGCATCACAATCAGAATTTGGGCCAGCCAAGTGGTGCGGGTAAGCCTCAAAATACTGGTACTTTTTCTTTGGGTTATCATAGTATGTTGGCTTATAACCCATCCTTGAGTCAGCTGGCTGATTTTGTGACATATTTTGGGTGAGGAGCAGAAATACCGTATTTTTCAGAGTATAAGACGCTCCGGACTATAAGACGGACCTACCTTTTTTGGTGAGGAAAACAAGAAAAAGAAATCTGCCTCTGCCTCCCAGCAATTTACCTCCTTTTTTTTTTTTTTTTGGAAAAAAGTTTTTTATTTTTAAGCAAAACTTAAAACAACCATCATCCATTACAATTACAGAAAGTGTATTGATCGGTTACAAATATTTTGTGCTTAATCCCATATCCATATTCTCATTTGCCAATTATTTAACAATGGCTTATCTCCCATTAAAAAAAACCTGCTTTATATATTTTATTATTACATCCATTTCATATTTCATTTCCATGCTTTATTATCTAGCCATTGGTAAAATAAGTCCCATATCAAATAATATTGTTTATCTTCCTGTTCTCTAATTTCAAATGTCAATTTGTTCATTTCAGCACATTCCAAAATTTTCTTGATAACATCATCATCAGTAGGTATCTTCTCTCCTTTTCAGTTTTTAGCAAATACAATTCTAGCCGCTTTTAAGACATTCACTATTAAGTATCTCAATTCTCTTTTATATGTTTCTGGTACAATCCCTAATAAAAATATCTCTGGTTTAAAATCAATATGTTTCTTTATAATATTTTCCAACCATGTGCGGATTTTAATCCAATATCTTTTATCATCTGCACATGTCCACCACATATGGTAGTATGAACCCGGAGTCTGATGACACTTCCAACACTTCTCCAATTTGTTCTTGTACGTTCTGGCTATTCTCGCAGGGGGTAGATGCCACCTGTAAAACATCTTATACAAATTCTCCTTATATGCTGTTGACATTGTCATTTTATAATTCTGCAACCACAATTTCTGCCATTTCAATCAATCCCATGACCAAAATTTTTCCCCCATGCAATCATTGTTTCTTTAACTTTTTTCTTCTTCCAGTTTAACTTCTAATAAATAACCATATAATTTTTTGATACGTCATCAGAACCTGTTAAAATTTTATCTAAATTCGTCAAATTACTGTAAAAACCCTCATTCTTAGAATCTTCATCATATCTAGACTGTATTTGCATATATGAAAACCAATCAATTTCTATCTCTTGTTCTTCTAATTTCTGCTTCGATTTAAGTTCACCCTTTTCATTCAATAATTCACCATATCTAACAATTAGTTCCTTTCTAAATGTTATTGAGTGTGAGAATACTTCAATAGAAGATAACCAGACTGGAATTTTTAAGTAATGGTATTTTTTGATCTTTTCCCAATTTAATAACAAAGATTCTCGTATAATATGTCTTCTGGAATAACACTGAGTTTTTGTACTTTTATACCATAAAAAAGCGTGCCAGCCCAACAACAAATCATGACCTTCTAAAGTCAACAATCTAATATTTCTTAACATTATCTATTCTTTAATCCACATCAAATTACATGCTTGGTAATATAGTTCCCAATCCGGCAGGCCAAAGCCTCCGCTTGATCTAACATCTTGCAACAATTTTAACTTAATCCTCACCTTTTTACCTTGCCAAATATATTTTAACACAATTTTGTTTAGATCTTCAAAATATTCTTTCCCCAACTTAATTGGAATTGTCTGGAACAAATATAAAATTTTAGGGAATATATTCATTTTTATAGTTGATATCCTCCCTATCAATGATAGTTGAAAATTCTCCCATTTTGCCAAATCTGTCACTATCTGTTGTTTAAACTTATTATAATTATTCTCCTTAAATATACTGCATCTTGCTGTCAAATGTATCCCCAAGTACTTCACCTTGTTCATGACCTGCATCCTTGATACTTCCGCCAACTCTTCTTTTTGTTTTTTTAACATATTTTTTGTCAAAATCTTCGTTTTATCTTTATTTATTTTCAGGCCTGCCACTTACCAAATTCTCCTATTTTATCTATCAGTTTATTTATTGATTCAAGTGGATCTTCCAAAATAAACACCAGGTCATCCGCAAATACTTGCAATTTATATTCTTGGTTTTGAATTTTCATTCCTTTTATTTCTTTTTCTTCTCTAATATTTCTATTTAGTACTTCTAGTATTAACACAAACAACAGTGGTGACAGTGGGCAACCTTGTTTCGTTCCTTTTTGGATTTCAATAAATTCTGTCAATTCTCTGTTTATCATTACTTTTGCTATTAGTTTATGATATATAGCTTCTATGGCTTGAGTAAATTTCTCCCCAAAGCCTATCTCTTTCAATTGTAATATCATAAATCGCCAGTTCATATTGTCGAAGGCTTTCTGTGCATCTAAAAACATCAAAGCCATTTGCTTTTCCGACTGTGCCTCATGGTATTCCAAAGTGTCCAGTATTATCCTCAAATTGTGTCTAATCTGTTTTTTTTGGCAGAAATCCATTTTTATCCGAATGGATAAAGTTATTTAAATATCTTTTAAGTCTTTCTGCTAATATTGTAGCAAAGATTTTATAGTCTGATTTTAGCAGGGATATAGGTCTATAATTCTTGACTTGTTGTGGGTCAGTATCCTCCTTTGGGATAAATGTAATATATGCTTCTAAACCATGATTTGGGTATTTCCTTCTTTAACATTACTTCATTCATAACTTCTAACAGTGGGAGACTCAGTGATCCTGTAAAGTCTTATAGTATTCCGCTGGCAGTCAGTCTGGGCCTGGCGCCTTCCCAATCTTTTGTTTTTTAAGAGCTTCAGTCAATTCCATCATTGTTATGTTTCCTTCTAGCATCATCTCAGTATCTTTTGAAATCTGAGGTAAATTCGCCTTATGTAGATATTGTTTAACACTTTCCTCTTCTATATTTTCTTTTTCATATAGTTTTTTATAATAATCTTGTATAATGTTTTTCTTCTCCTCATTTCCAAATCTAATTTGTCCTTGCTCATCTAGTAATTGTGTTATTTTCTTTGATTCTCTCTCTTTTTTCAGTTTATATGCTAGCCATCTGCCTGGTTTATTAGCATCTTCAAAGTAGTTCTGTTTAGCATTCCTAATTCTTTGTGCTAAATCTTCTTTTTCTATTAATCCCATTTTATGTTTAATTGTATCCATTTTCATTTTAATATCCTTTTTTTGTGGGAACTTCTGTAGTTCTTTATCAAATTTCTTATAATCATCCTCTAACGTTTTATATGCTTATCTTTTCTTAATATTCCTCTTTCTCGTATAGTCAATAATCAGGCCTCTGACATAAGCTTTCATAGTATCCAACAGATTCTGCATTGATGTATCTTTTCTATTTTCTTTGAAAAAGAAAGCCAATTCTTTCTCCGTTTTCTGTACAAAGTCCTTTTCTTTTAAAACTGTAGTATTTAAAGTCCATCTAGACCAGCAGTTCTCAACCTGGGGGTCGCGACCCCTTTGGGAGTCGAACGGCCATTTCACAGGGGTCGCCAAAGCCCTCTCTTGCCGCCGCCCCCCCCAATGCCTTCACTCATCCTCACCCTCTGCCGGATCGCTGTTCGCTTACCCTGCCCACTCCCAATCTATTGCTGCCTCCTGAGTCCCAGCTGATGGCTAGAGGGAAAAAAACTGTTTAAATTCTTGCCGTGGGGCTTCAAAGGGCCACCCTACAGCTGATCAGTGTTAAAAGAAAACAAATGAGTAGACCGGTGCCTGCAAAAATAGAAAAAACAGCCCCTTTCAGCTTCAGCATAGGTTAATTACCACAAGTTGATTAGATCGGCCTCCCGACTCTCAGCTGATTTGCTCTCAGCTTTTTGCGCAGAGGTCTGTTCTCTGTTGCTAGCTGCAAAGAGAGCTGGAGCAGATTTTTTTCCCCCTAGCTATACTGAAAAAGCGAAACTGAAAGTAAAGCAGGGTCTTTGCTGCAACGTGACAAAATGAGGCAGAGAGATTTCTTTTTCTTTTTCCTCACCAAAAAAGGTAAGTGCAGAACTGCAAACAATGGGAAATTTAGGGCAAAAGAGGAAGTTCAAGATTTTAAAACACAAAAGAAAAAAAGCTCTATTTAACTAGGGAATTGTAATAATTGAACTACTATTAATTGTATATTGTATTGAAAGCAGAAATGGTTAAGTTGTGGTTTGGAGGACTATATGGGGGAAATTTTTTGGTTTATTATTATTGGTAAATATAATTAATTGATTTGTAAGAAATTGGATTGCATGGAAATAATTGGAATATTCATGTTCATATTGATTAATATACAAAAAAGATAGTTATATAACTAATTGATTTATATTAAAATGTTGAATTTGTATTAAACAACTGTATTACATAATTACATAATTAACACAATGAGAATGGATATAAAAATAGATGACAATGTGAAGGGGTATAATATAGAATAGAAGGGAAAAATTGAATTTGATTAAGATAAGATGATGAAGGGTAATACTGTTTTTTTTAAAAAATAGATGAATAAATATGGCAAAAAGGAAATATAGAAATTGTAAATTGAATTGAAATGGCTAAACACTGTTTAAATTTGTGAACCGGCCAAATACTCTGTTCAAAGAAAATACATTGTATGTTTGTATGTGTGTTTCTAATTATTGCTAGTTTAACAATTCATTCTTTATCTTAATATCTTTATATTTGTTTGGGGTTGGTTTTCTTCCCTTTTATCTTTTTTATTGTACAGCAATCTTTCTCCTCAAACCTACCACCTCTCTCTTTTCTTTCCTTCTTACTTTCTCTTTCCCCCCCCCCTCTTCTTCTCCTCCCTACTTCCTCTTCCTTTCTCCTTCTCCTCCTCTTTTCCTCCCTCTCTTACCCTCACTCCTACTCTAATTTCTCTTCCCTTCCTTCATTCCTCTCTATTGCTGTATCCTTTTATGCATATGGACTACTCAGAGGGCTGAAAAAGTTATTTCTGACTGGTCCTCGCACTTTTGACCAGTCCTCGAACTTACAACTGTCCTCACATTTTACGTTTTTGCCCTATCTTGTCACCATGGTGAAGAGAAGCAGTTGTGAAATGAGTGACACGGTTGTTAAGAATGCTACAATGGGCATATATGATGACCAGTCATAAGTGTGAAGACCGGTCAAAAGTGCGAGGACCTGTCAGAAATGACTTTTTTCAGCCCTCTGAGTAGTCTCTATACACATAGCCATGGCCACCCGGTCACATGACCAGCTAGCCACGCCTACCCAGTCACATGACCTCCAAGCCATGCCCACAAAATAAGCCACGCCCACAGAACCGGTAGTAAAAAAAATTTAGAACCCACCCCTGGTTGGGGGTCACCACAACATGAGGAACTGTATTAAAGGGTCATGGCATTAGAAAGGTTGAGAACCACTGATCTAGACCTTCTCCTTTGTCCTTTCCATCTCACCGTCATTGGGTTGTGGTCTGCCCAAGTATTGGCTTCTATGGCAATTTCTTCTATATTCGAGGTCAATTCCATTGTCATTGTTATATCTATTCTAGACCATGATAAATGTCTATTAGAATAAAATGTATATTGCCTAATTTTTCCATTTCTTTCTCTCCATGCATCTTTTAAGTTTATTTCCTCTATCATCTTAAAGAAAGATTTTGGCAGAATTCTTCTACTTTGTTTTATTGTCTTTTGTGTGTTATAGTCCATTTTCCCATCAACTATTCCATTAAAGTCTCCCATCATACAAATATTGTCATAATCCAACTCAATTAATTTCATGTGTAGTTTTCTATAAAAATCATCTTGGTTGTCACCTGGAGCATATGTCGCTATTAACAATATTTTCCTGTTGTTATCTGTAATTTCCACTATCAAAATTCTTTCCTTATCGTCTGCGTAAATTTTTTCTGCTGGTATTGTATCTTTAATATACAAAGCCACTCCTCTTTTCTTACATTGTGGCAGTGAGGCAAATAATTTCCCTAGTTTAGGCTGTACCAAAAGTAGTTCATGTTGTTTTTAAATATATACTTCTTGTAAACAAATTATGTCCAATTTTAATTTCTCCAATTTATGAAATACTTTTCTTCTTTTAGTTGCTATGTTAAGTTTATTGTAATCAATTTTTTCTCTTCCATATTTATATTTTATATGTAGGCTTTGCTGCTCTAGTAGATCTCATATTCACGCTGTTCTTTGTGTTCTGCCATACCTCCTACTGCACCTTCTAGTGCGCCCGCCGCTTTTTCAATCATCAATAAATCCTCTTCTTGTAGTTGGAGCAATGTCTCTTCCCTTCTTGATTCTACATCCTTTTAAATATTCTGCATAAAATGCTTTGGCTTTATCAATTGAATCTATTTTAAATCTTTGCAATTGCCATGTGAACCAAACCTTCTGGTATCAGCCATTTGTAATTCACTCCTTTCTGGAGCAATATTTTTGTCAAAAATTGATATTCTTATCTCTCTCACTCTTCTTGGTATTTGCTTCAGCATCATAATTTCCTTGCCCTTGTATTGCAATGTTTTCTCTTTTGTAGTCTGCAATATTTGTGTTTTAATTGATTTCTTAATAAATCTTATATGGACTTCTCTTGGTAATTTGTTTCTCATTGCATATCTAGTATATACTTGATACATCTCATCAACGCCATCCAACATTTTTTCTTTAATAATTTCTAGTGCTTCTGCAAGAATTTCTATCATTTTTTCTGGCAAATTTTCTCCTTTTTCTTCTTCCATATTCTGGAATCTTAAATAGAATTCTGATTTATCCATCTCCCATCCTAAACCGCTTTTGTCGTGTTCAACTTTTTTTAATCTACTGTCCATATCTCTAATTTTTTTATCTCTTTGTTCCTCCTTTTTTTCAATTTTTTCAAGTCTGTCCTCGTATTTCTTCATCATCTGTTGTATATTCTCCACTTTTTCATCTGCTTTCTCTATTTTTAATTTTATGTCTTGTATTCCTTGTAGAATCATCTGCATTGTCGCCTCTTTTTCTTTCTCCCGTTCTCTATCTCCTGCTGTAACATTACCTATATTCATCGTTGTCCTCCCACTGGTGATGAAGAAGGCTTAGCTCGATCATTAGCTCGATCCAGCAGAGCTAACAACTGCTGCTTTTTTACTCATTTCTATAGATAATCCAAATCAAAACAGAAAATAAAATATCTTCAGGTTCTTCTCAACCCTAATCCATTTTTATGAATAGCAAAAAGAAAAACAATTTTCAGGCTCTTGTGTGCCCTAATCCAATCAAATAATAAGGTTAAAAAACAGCCTCCAATCAGTAGAGGAAAAAGAAAAAGGAATATAAAAAGAAAAAATTAAAGAGAAAAAAAAGAAGAATGATAAATAGAAAAAAAAAGTCCAAAATATAGTTTCTTCAGGCTCTTGAAAGCCTTAATCCAACTGAAGAGTCACTTGTTGTGGAAGATAGAAGAGAAAAAGAAAAAAATTTTGTTCCAAAAATGTAAAAATAAAAATAATTAAATCATGAAGAAGTGGAAATAGAAAAGGGAAAACTTTCTATCCTACTTAAAAGTCCACAACTGTGTAGCATTCAACGGCTCTTTCATATACCTCTCTCAATTTTACAGCTCTATTTCCGGAGTCGCTCTTTTCTTCTTCTTTCAAGTTTTAGCCGCCTATCAGCAATATTTTCTCCAAAGAGCACCTGTATAAACAACTGCGAAGAGTCTTTGAGGCTCTTCTAAATTTTATCTATAGACATGCATCTTGACTTTGAAAAAAGGGACACAGTTGCTACTTTTTTAATCAGTGAAAAAAAAAGAGACAAAAAAAATACAATGTTTCAATCCACTAGGTGGCAATATTTCTTGTTTATTCCACTTCTTCTATCTCTGATTTACAATAAAGCCAATGTAAAAAGAAATTAAAATGTAAAAATCAACCAAAAGGTGGGAATATCAAAGCCAATCCAAAAACTTATACACTCAAAAAGCACCAAAAATTTAATATTTGAACAAGTAAAAAAGAAAATCTCCTTTCCAATCCAGTCCAATCAGATTTAAAAATAAAACTTTCTACAAGCATCCACAGATGAAAATAGTTTATGTTTTAGGAAAATTAACTTAAATTCAGGCTCAATTCCGCTGCTAAATTACTTCTAGCTTCAATTCTAATTGTATTTGAACTTCAGGGTGTTCTTAAAGTCCAAATAAAAAGCTTCTCGCTAGATCCTAACACTTTCACTCATTCTCTTCTGTTCGGGGCTGTCCCAACTTCAGCAGCTTAATGGCTGCCTCTTCAGCTTCTTCTTGCTGCTTGCTGCAAGGAGGTAAACTGCTGGGAGGCAGAGGCCAAAGGGTGGGGGCAGTGGGTGAGCGGATCTACATTCAGTGTATAAGACACATCTAAATTTTCATCCCCTTTTAGGGAGGGGAAAGGTGCGTCTTCTTCTCTGAAAAATACAGTATATTTTACACGTGGTGGTGCTTCAGATATGATGAAAATGCTATGGAAATTTTGTGTTCTTGTTGAGGAATCTTAGGAAATAGCACCTTTTCCAGTGTTTTATGGAATGTAAGGATCATAGTTGATACCACCAGGTGATCCATCAAGTAATTCTCAACATACGACCATAGTGGAGCCCAGAATTTCCTTCGTAAGTCAAAATGGTTGTACATTGGAGGCATCCACATGATTGACACAATTTTACTACCTTTTATGCAGTGGTTGTAAAGTGAACATAATGCTCAAAAAGCTACTCAATGCATTCCCTGTGAATGGTTTTTGCTTGAAAACCAGCAAGGGGCGTTGTAAACCATGGTCACTTTGAACCCTGCAACCAGCCATAAGAGTGAGCTGATTACCAAACACTCAGAATACGGTGATGTGGCCATTACAGTGGGGTGCTGCTGTAAGAATTCCATACTTGGGTTGCTCCTTCTGGGCATCTGTTGTAATTTTGAACGGTCGCTAAGCAACTAGTTAAGTGAAAAGTACAAGTATGGAATAAAGCCATGTGTGTTTCTGTGAGGATGTTTGAAAATTGTATAAGAGCATCCCTCACATCCAGGGGAATGATTGTGATAATGTGGCAGTAGCCTTTTGAAGGATGTCTCTTTTTCATTAGAGAAAGGGAGGGAAAGAATAATGTCAAGAGGACAGAAGCAAGTAAATCAGTGCTGCCAGGTCTTTTATGCCCACACATTTAGATGCTAAGGGTCAGGGTTCATGGCAATCATGTTTGTTGGTTAAGGAATACAGGGAGTCCTCAACTTACAACCATTCGTGTAGTGACCGTTCAGAGTTACAGCAGTACTGAAAAAAGTGTGATCAGTTTTCACACTTCTGACCCTTTCAGCATCCCCCACAATCATGTAGTCAAAATTCAGCCACTTGGCAACTGGGTCATATTTATAAGGGTTTCAGGGTCCCAAGGTCTTGTGATTACTCTTTTCTGACCTTCAGACAAGCAAAGTCAATGGGGAAGCCAGATTCACTTAACAACCATGTTTCTAACTTAAAAACTGCAGTGATTCGCTTAACAACTGTGGCAAGAAAGTTAGTAAAATTGAGAGAAAACTCCCTTAACAACTGTCTTATTTAGCAACAGAAATTCTGAATTCAATTGTAAGGCCCTAGGAGGATTATTCAGATTGGTGGTTGAATCTCAGCCAATCTGCCTATGACTTGCCATGTGACAATATAACCCAGGAACAATTGGGACAATGAGAAAGTATGCAAATGTTTAAAAGTGGAGCATACTGTGCTAAAAAATGAGATGGAATGGAACAAGCTGCATACTTGAGATAGTTAAGCTTTCATTCATGGAAGTTTTGCAAACTGTGTAGCTTCCTTTCAACTAATCTTAACCATTTCTAAAGTATGCATTGCAGTTAAATAAACATAATGGAACCTTGCTATTTTAATGTTTTCTTTTTCCGTATAGTTCTTCAACAGGTAAGCCTGAAGATTGGCCACAGGACATGAAAGAGTATGTCCAGCGCTGCTTCACAGCTTGTGAGTCAGAGGAGGACAAAGACCGCACAGAGAAGCTGCTTAAAGAGGTCCTGCAGGCCAGGCTACAGGATGGCACTGCCTATACCATTGACTGGAGCAGGGAACCATTGCCTGGGTGCGTAGCTTCGCAGGCAGAGCCTGAGGTGGGATCTGGAGAGCATTCAGTCTTTTTATTAGTGCATAAATTAAGCCAAATTAGCTCAGTGCTTTGTCCGTATGTCTCTCCTGATAGTATTATTTTAAGACAAGAAGAGGCAAAAAAGATAGTGATCAGCAAACATGGTCACTGACTACAGATTTTAATAAAGGTAGTCCTCAACTTATGACCATAATTGAGTTCTGAATTATGATTGTAGGTTGTGCCAGTCATTAAGTGGGTCCAGATGTGACCGTGTCTGTTTTATTTATTTCAACAAATCTGTTCTCCAAAATGGGCATTTTTGTTACAAACAAACATCAGTTTTCAGCAAAAAAAACAACAAAAAACATAACAAAATGCATTCACATGACTATGGGACATTGGAGATAACTATAAATGGACTGATTCCTGGATGCCCAAAATGTGATCATGTGACCGCAAGAGTGTCCCCATTGTCAGAACTTCAAATCTGGGTCATAAGTAGCTCTGAGGAGGTCTGTCATAATTTCAAACATTCACTAAGTGACCAGTTATGAGTCAGTGACTAAGAAGGGGAGAATCTTGGAAGACCAAGATTTCTATTCTTTTTTATTTATTTATTTATTTATTTAAAACAAAAACAAAACAAAACTACCATCTTTCAAATACAATGACAAATAGTGTGTTGATCGGTTAAAATTCTTTTTTTTTTATTGAGAAGTTTTAAAAAGTTTTACAAACATTTCCCCTTCCCCCTCCCTGCTCCCCTTCCAACCTTCCCCTTTCCCTCCCTCTCCCCCCCCACCACTTCCCAGAGCAAAATACAGGGTAAAACATTAGACAATCATAAGCTAACATAAGCTAATTATCTATAGCCATGATGGCGAACCTATGGAGCCATATTAGTGGGCACGCCATCTCAGCTCTGGGGCGCATGCGTGCGCCGGCCAGCTGATTTTCGGGCCTTCTGGGCCCACCAGAAGTAGGGAAACAGGGTGTTTCCTGCCTCTGGAGGGCCTGGGGGGTGGGGAAGGCCCTTTTTTCTTTCTTACCTGGCTCTAGATCCTCTCTGTGTATCTGGGAACGGCGAAAACAGCCTTTCCCACTCCCTTGGAGGCCCTACGGAGGCTGAAAGGGCCCATTTCCCCACTCCCGGTGGGACAGGAAGTGACGTTTTTTCCTGTCCCCAGCCTCCAGAGACTCCTAGAGAAGCTCCTACAGACTCGTAGAGAGGCTCCTAGAGACTCCTAGAGAGGTTCTGGAGGCTGGGGACAGCAAAAAATGTCACTTCCTGTCCCACCGGGAGTTGGGAAATGGGCCCTTTCAGCCTCCGTAGGGCCTCCAAGGGAGTGGGAAAGGCTGTTTTCGCCGTTCCCAGATACACAGAGGGGATTTGGAACGAGGTAAGAAAGAAAAACGGGCCTACCAGGCCATCATGTGCCAGGAGCGGAGGGGGGAGGGGGTTGCACACACATGCGCGTGGGCACGTGCATGCGCGACCCTCCCCCACCCCCCCTCTCCTGACACGCGATGGCAAAAAGGTTAGCCATCACTGATCTATAGTCTCCTATCCTCCTCATGTACTTTTAACTCCCCTTTAACTAAACTAAATTTAAGTACTTTATAAAATCTCTTTGATCATTCATAAGCTATTTGAAATTTTTTAGTCTGATATTTGCCTTGAATATAATCAATCCATCTTTTCCATTCTAACATATATTTTTCATTTGAATGGTCCTTTAGATATGCTGAAATTTTCGCCATTTCTGCTAAATTTACTACTTTTAATGTCCATTCTTGAATAGTAGGTAAATCTTCCTTCTTCCAGTACTGCACCACCAAAAGTCTTGCTGCAGTTATTAAGTTCAGAATCAAATTAGTCTCTATAGCCGTACAATCTGTAATGATACCTAACAAAAACAACTGTGGAGTAAACTTTATCCTTTTTTAAAAAATATTTTGAATAATCCATATTTTTATCCAAAATGCTTTAACTTTTTTACAAGTCCCCAAACATGAAAATAAGTAGCATCAACACAATCACATCTCCAACATTTGGGTTGTAAGTTTGGGTACATACAAGCTAACTTTTTAGGATCTATAAAACATTTTATAAAAATTTTCTATAAAATTTATCTATAAAACATTATAAAACATTTTATAAAAATTTTCTCTCAAATTTTGAGCTTGTGTAAATTTTACATTTCTTACCCAGATCCTTTCCCATGTTTCCATCGTTATTGGTTCCTCAAAATTTTGTGCCCATTTTATCATACAATCTTTAACTAACTCTGTCTCCGAGTCTATTTCTATCAAAATATTATACAACCTTTTTATTGCATTCTACTCTGGTCCCTAATTTGTTTTATCAAAATTTCTTCACTTTGTATATTGCCAATTTTCTGATCTTTTTTCCATCTATTCTGCAGCTGTACATACTGAAACCAGGTTTGAATTGTCCTTTCCTCTCTTAGTAAATTCAGAGGCTTTAACTGTAGTACATTTCTTTCTGTAAACAGAAGTTCTCTATAAGTAATTACCTCCTGTCTTTGTTCTATAATTATATTTTCTATCACATGTCTGGGTACTACCCACATGGGTATCTTGCCATTCAGTTTATATTGGTATTTTTTCCAAACATGCAGGAGAGCATTCCTTAATATATGACTTTTAAAAGTCTATCCACCTTCTTCTCATAGACTAAGTAGGGATGCCAACCATATAGGAAATCATACCCTTCAATATTCAGTATTCTTTCATCTGTTAAATTAATCCAATCACTAATTGCTGACAAAACAGCTGCTTCATAGTACAATTTTAGATTGGGCAATTTCAAACTTCCTCTTTCACGTGTATCCTGCATTATTTTTAATTTAACTCTCAGTCTCTTCCCTATCCAAACAAAAGTTGTTAATGCCTCTCTGCCATTCCTCCAGATTTACATCCTTTTTAAGTATTGGAATCATTTGAAAAAGAAATAGAAACTTGGGCAGAACATTCATTTTAACTACTGCTATTCTTCCTAACAAAGACAGTTGTAATTTTTTCCATTTATCCATCTCTGTATTTTGTGCCATAACAATTCATAATTACACTTGTATAATTTCCCATTTTGACGTTGTAATAAAAATTCCTAAGTACTTAACCTTTTTCACTATCTCGCATCCTGTTACTCTTTCCATTTCTTCTTTTTGTTTTGTATTCATATTCTTAGCTATCATCTTTGTTTTCCCTATATTTATTTTAAACCCTGACACTTGACCATATTGCCTAATTATCTCCATCAAACCTGTAACTGAATTTACTGGTTGGGTTAAAGTTACAACCAAATCATCTGCAAATGCTCGTAGTCTGTAATCTTGTTGCCTGATCTTAATATCCTATATGTTATCCACATCCCGTATTTTATTCAGCAATACTTCCAAAGTTAAAATAAACAGTAGTGGAGACAAGGGACATCCCTGTCTTGTTCCTTTCTCAAATTTTAAAGATTTCTGTGAGACTACCATTAACTATTATTTGTGCTGTTTGTTTCTGGTATATTGCCTGAATAGATTGTATGAAATGCTCTCCCAACTGCATCTTTTGTGCTACTTTCACTAAAAACTGCCAGTTCAATCGATCAAACGCTTTCTCTGCATCCAAAAACATAAGCACTGCAGGGACTTGGTTGTTCTTCCCCAAATACTCCAGTATATTAACAATTTGCGTTACATTGCTTTTCATTTGTCTCCCTTGTATAAATCCAGTTTGATCTTTATGAATCACTTGTTGCATAACTGACATTAGTCTATTTGCCAAAATTTTTGCAAAGATCTTATAATCTGTATTAAGCAATGATATGGGTCTGTAATTTTTGGGTTGACTATGATCTTGATCTTCTTTCGGGATCAGGGAAATAAAAACTGTTCTCCAGGATGGTGGCACTTCTCCCCGTTGTATTTTAACAAATAACTCCTTAAGAGGTTCTACCATTTCTAATTGAAAGTTTTTATAATACACTGCTGTCAAACCATCTGTGCCAGGAGCCTTTCCACTTTTTAGTTGTTTAATTGCCCAAAGAATTTCCTCGGTGGTTATTAATACATTCAATCTTTCCCTTTGTCATCAGTAATTGCAAGAATATTTTCCTTCTGCAAATATCTCTCTCTATCATTACCTTGTATATTATCACCAGCATATAACCTCGTATAATAATCTAAAATGCTTTCTTAATCATATTCTGTTGATATACCTCTTTACCTTTATACTCTATTTTTTCTATTGTACGAGATCTTTGTTTTTTCCTTAACATATATGCTAACCACCTGCCTGGTTTATTTGTGTTACAAAAAGTATTATGTTTAGCATATTGCAAGTTCGTTGCAACTTGATCTGACATCAACATATTAAACTGTCCTCGCAATATTGTAATGGCTTCTTTTATATTCTTGTCATCTGGTTTATCCACTAACGCCTGTTCCTTCTTCTTTTATTTCCTCTTCCAATTTCCTCCGTTTTTTCCCTTACATCTGTAAGAATTATTCAAATTTATTAAAACTCCTCTCATATATGCTTTACTTGCATCCCATACCATTTCCACAGGTGTACCCTTATGCATATTTAAAACAAAAAATTCTTTCATTAACTTTTTACATTTTATCACATTTGCCTCATATCGAAACAAGTTTTCATTCAGTCTCCAGGATCTCCTAGACCCCTCCCCAAACTCTAGTTCCATCCACACCGGATTATGGTCTGTTAAAGTTATTGGACATATCTTCATCTTCTTTACCCTGGAAAGAAAATCATTTGTAATTAGTATAAAATCAATTCTAGAAAAAGATTGGTGCCTGTCAGAAAAAAAAGTAAAATCCTGTTCTTTAAAATTTCGTTCACGCCATATATCTCTCAACTCCATATCATCCATCATGTCAAAAAAAGATTTAGGCAATTTAGCCCGTGTTTGAACATTTGGCAAAAGAGTTTTTTTGTCTTTTTTGGTATCCAATACACCA